TGTTTGTTGTGTTTGTTGGTTGTTGTTGTTGTGTTTGTTGTTGTTTGTTGTTTGTTGTTTGTTGTTTGTTGTTTGTTGTTTGTTGTTGGTTGTTGTTGTTGTTGTTGTTTGTTGTTGTTGGTTGTTGTTTGTTGTTGTTGGTTGTTGTTGTTGTTGTTGTTGTTGTTGTTGTTGTTGTTGTTGTTGTTGTTGTTGTTGTTGTGGTGGTGGTGGTGGTGGTGGTGGTGGTGGGGGTTGTTGTTGTTGTGGGGGCGGCGGCGGCGGCTGCTGCTTTTGAGGCTGGGGGTAGGAAAGATGGAGACATCAGGTGCATGCCTCAGCTCCAGTTTGTTCTGGCGCACACCAGCAGCGAAGCCCTCAGCTGTGATGCAGCAATGACTTGAGCAAGGATCACTAAGGGATGCGCTGGCGCGGAGCATGTGCTTGCAAAAGCTGGTTACAGTTTCCTCCGGTGAGGGGAAACGCCTGGTGACGTGGGATGGCAGGTCCGCATGCGCTGATTTTCTCAGCTACCGGATTGAACAAGGCGCTGGCCCTGTGGTAACTGCTTGCCTCGCTCTTGTGCTCGCCGGTTTTTGCGACCTGTTTGCCTGATCGTTTGAAAGTATCGGAACGGGAGGGTTCCTATGCCGTGCTTTTGATGCTGCCCTGCAGTTGATTACTTTACATTGGACATCAGTCTCCGACCAGCAGAAGGAGGAGATGAGGCGCTCATTTTGTTTGCGTGCTTCTTCCCGTGCTTTGTTGCTTGCTGGAGCCCGGAGTCTATAAAGCGGACATGGACCCTTACTTCATCTCCTTGATGAGAATTTAGAGAGCCATTGTGAGGGTTCCCACGGCTCGCAAAAGCAGTTTCGACTATGGCATGCAGTGTGTAGGTGTTTCAGGGAAGTCATAGGGACACAAGTATTGAGCAGTGCCAACACATCTCGTCTTTCTCAGATTTGAAAGTACATCACTAGGTGACACATACCACGTTTACCAACTGCACTGTTTGTTTTGGAGGAACTTTCTGCTGGATTACCTTGCCAAGAATGGCCGGGATGTCAGCTTTGCAACATATTGAGGTGCTGCAAGAATCAAGTCCTCGAACGGCTGACAGGTTTATGCCATCGATGCGAATGCTACCGTATCCATGCATCTCCACACATGTAATCAGCACAGCTGTTGCCTGAGCGCTACCGGCTTTGCAGTAGCCATCCGGGATCCACATTTCCTATTTGGAGTTCACAACAAACAAGACAAGCAGCACTGCAAGGAGAACTCAAATGTGAAACTCAGGAGATGCATATTGCACATTTGTTCGCTTCTTACATGTTTGGTTTTCTTTGCCTGCTTGCCTGCTTGCCTGCTTGCCTGCTTGCCTGCTTGCCTGCTTGCCTGCTTGCCTGCTTGCCTGCTTGCCTGCTTGCCTGCTTGCCTGCTTGCCTTCTTGCCTGCTTGCCTGCTTGCCTGCTTGCCTGCTTGCCTGCCTGCCTGCCTGCCTGCTTGCCTGCTTGCCTGCTTGCCTGCTTGCCAGCCTGCTTGCCTCTATTGCTTGTTTGCTTTTTTGCTTCCCAATTTCCTTGCTTGCTTGCTTCTTGCTTGCTTGCTTGCTTGCTTGCTTGCTTGCTTGCTTGCTTGCTTGCTTGCTTGCTTGCTTGCTTGCTTGCTTGCTTGCTTGCTAGCTGCTTGCTTGCTTTGCTTGCTTGCTTGCTTGCTTGCTTGCTTGCTTGCTTGCTTGCTTGCTTGCTTGCTTGCTTGCTTGCTTGCTTGCTTGCTTGCTTGCTTGCTTGCTTGCTTGCTTGCTTGCTTGCTTGCTTGCTTGCTTGCTTGCTTGCTTGCTTGCTTGCTTGCTTGCTTGCTTGCTTGCTTGCTTGCTTGCTTGCTTGCTTGCTTGCTTGCTTGCTTGCTTTGCTTGCTTGCTTGCTTGCTTGCTTGCTTGCTTGCTTGCTTGCTTGCTTGCTTGCTTGCTTGCTTGCTTGCTTGCTTGCTTGCTTGCTTGCTTGCTTGCTTGCTTGCTTGCTTGCTTGCTTGCTTGCTTGCTTGCTTGCTTGCTTGCTTGCTTGCTTGCTTGCTTGCTTGCTTGCTTGCTTGCTTGCTTGCTTGCTTGCTTGCTTGCTTGCTTGCTTGCTTGCTTGCTTGCTTGCTTGCTTGCTTGCTTGCTTGCTTGCTTGCTTGCTTGCTTGCTTGCTTGCTTGCTTTTCTTATTACAATATGCTTGTTTGTTTGTATGTTTTGTTTGTTTGCTATATTTGTTTGTTTGTCTTTCTTTGTTTTGGTTTGTTGCTTTTTTAGCCGTGTGCATGCCTCTGTGTATGCAATTTGTTTGTTTTTTGTTTGTTTGTTTGTTTGTTTGCTCGCTTGCTTGCACCCTTGTTTGCTTGCTTGCTTTCTGGTTTGTCTTTGTTCTTGCCGGCACATTATTGTTTTTTGTTTTTGTTTTTTGTTGAATCAACACTTGTTGTACCTTCCATTTACTCGTGCTACTCACACCCAGCAGACAAGCCAGAGATGTCAGCCTTTGCGGCACCAAAGACACCTGCAAGCAATGAGAACGAGCAACTGACACCACATCAGGCAAAAAGCATGGAACAGCTAAACAACTGTAAAGCAGGCCCTCGCCAACATTTCTTTTTACTTCGATTTGTGCCCTCTAAGATATCAAGTTGGTGGTCAACCAATGCAAGTGAAACAAAGGCAAGCCTCATACTCACATAGCCCCAATCTAGAGTGACGCGTGTTTCGGACTTTGCCTTTGAGAACCGCAAGGGATTTGTCCTTCCTGGGCCTTGCGCGTGTGGTTCTGAGTCAGTTGCTGTTCGTGTCAAGGGGTGGAGTTTCTTTTGAGTTTTTGTTGAGTCTACTTTGGGTTTGGAAGTGACCCCGAGGGGTCAAACACATCCACTTTTGGGCGTTTTTTCTTGAGACCGTGAGGGGAGCCTGACCGTTGTTTCATCCCTGAGGCCCGGACCTCTACAGGAGTGCGCCTATGGGCGTTTCCCCTGTAGTGAGGCAGGGTTGGGATAAGCTTGGCAGAGCAAAATGTCAGATTTGCCCTGCTGGTTTGGAGTTGGAGTTGAACCCCAAATTCGTGCTTTTCTCTGGTGGGCGAAAAAATGTAGGCACGGCAAGGCGCCGTGAAAGCTATAAGTGTATGCAATGGCGTGTCTCCAAATTGGGGAACCCAAGAATGAGCTGTTTCCCGTTCAGCAACCCTCGCAACAACTCTCAACAGACAGACATACCCACCTCCCAAGCCAGCCAAAGCCTCTCCTTTGAAACCAGACTGACAGCAGAAGAAACGCACATCAGCCATTTGATACTGGTTGAGCAGCTTGTTTCTTGCACAGGTTACTTTGCAGAGATGCTTGGCTGCATGTGGCTTGAGTCTGGAAGCTGCCCGTGTCGACTGGAAACCAAGGTGATCAAGCTGGCTTGGTTGGAAGGGCCAGCTAGCTTAGAACGCAACAAATAGCATAGCATTGAAGTAGGCGGTGTCGCTAGGCTTCCATGAAAGCATGAACTGTCTTGCTGGAAAAGCAAATCTGGCAAACATGCAGAGTCATGGCTTTGACACGTGCCACTCCTTGACACTTGGCAGAGGCCGCAACATCAGATGATCACCACCAAAGTGGACCAGTTCTTGCAATCCTCCCCCCTGCCTGCATCCCAGTATTTCCTGGCGGAGGACTGCCTTGGACAGCATTGCAAGAGGATCAGCTCGGATCAGCATTGCATCCCGCCTTTTGAGCAGCATTGGTGGCATGAGTTGCAATTCCTCGGCATTTTGGCTCAAAGGGCTTGTCCGGTGTGCTAGTGTGTTTTCCAAGCATGGGACTGAAAAGTCGGAGGCCGGCGCTCGTGAGCTTGGGTTTATCATGAGGATCCCTGAGGCTACTAAGACACTGGGCTTTGTCAGCCAAGCCGCGCATGTCAGCCAACTGGTTGCATCCTGTCCTGCAGGTCTTGCTGGATACTGCTTTTTTGCGCACCAGCCCTTGCAGACAACTTTACGCAGGCCCGGACTTGGTCACACCCCATGTCCAAATGAGGCGGGTTCAAAACCACTTTGCGCATTGCGATTGAAGGGTGGTCATAAGTGCCTTGCACCATGGCAACCGTGTGGCGGCGTAAGGCGGAAGCGTAGGCCTGTTGCGCAACACGAGGAGTCGTGTGGTTAATCGCAAACCCCTGTGCTCGCGTAGGTTCGCAGCAGCTAAGCGGCGTAGGAACCTAAGTTCGAACAATTTAAGGGCTGCCGCTCGGTGCCGCCGCCCCCGCGGGATCACTGTCCTGTGTTGGCCTTTGAGGTTGACCCCGGGGTCTGTGGATGCTTTGGCCGGCTTTGGTAGGCTCTTGTTTCCTCTTTGGGCAGCGTTCCTAGTCTTTTGTTGGACTTTCCGGTATGTCGGCCTCTGAGGCAGACTGCGGGGTCTGCGGATATTCGGGCTGCCTTTTGGTATTGTTTTTTTTTTGGGGTTGGCCTGTATACTGGTCTCGTAGACCCCGGGGTTTGCGGATGCTCGAGCTGCATTTGGTAGTACTTTCCTGTATGTCGGTCTGTGAGGTACCCCGGGGTTTGCGGATGCTCTAGCTGCATTTGGTAGTACTTTCCTGTATGTCGGTCTGTGAGGTAGACCCCGGCATTTGCGGATACTTGGGTTGCTGTTGGCAGTGCTTCTATTCTTGGGGGGTACTGTCTTGTATGTTGGTTTGAGAGGTAGATTTGGGGGTCTGTGGACATTCGGGCTGTCTTTCGCAGTTTTTGTTTTATTTTCTTGGGACTGTCCTGTATGCTGGTTTGTGAGGTAGACCCCGGGTCTGCGGATACTCGGGCTGCCCTTGGTAGTGTTTCTTCCCTTTTTTTCCGACGTTCCTGCATGTTGGTGTTTGAAGTAGATCCCGGGGTCTGCGGATACTCGGGCTGCCCTTGGTAGTGTTTCTTTTGTGTTTTGGGGGACCGCCTGTATGTCGGTGTGTGAGGTAGACCCCGGGGTCTGGCCACTGCTGGCTTCGTTTGTGAGGTAGCCCTCAGGGTCTGCGGATACTCGGGCTGCCTTTGGTAGTGTTTCTTTTATTGGGGAGGGACTTTCCTGTATTTTGATCTCTGAGGTAGACCCCGGGGTCTGCGGATACTCGGGCTGCTGTTGGTAGTGGTTTGTGAGGTAGACCCCGGGGTCTTCCTTTTTTGCGACGTTCCTGTATGTGCCTGTGGTTGGGTTTCTTTCCTTTTTTTTTGGACTTCCTTCCCAAAAACGGACACAGACAGACAGACACGGACACAGACAGACAGACACACACACACAGACACATCGGCGTTTTGCGCCCCACGGTGGGGCGCTTCGAGATTGCGGAGCTGAAGGGGACGCGCTGGCTCATGGCCAGCCGTTTTTGTCAGGCCGTGCCCTTGGAGGCTTCATTCTGTTTCCCGAAAACCTGGTCGGAAAATTCTTTGTTTGGAAAATCCTATCTAAAGGGTGCTGCTTGAGCGGGGTGATGTTGAAACAGCGAAGATAAAGTCAGACATCCAACCGCAAAGTCAGAGACCCAAATGTCAGACATCACCGCGCAAAGAGTCAGACATCACCGCTCGAAGAGTCAGACATCACAGCACGGAGAGTCAGACATCATAGCCGCCGACACCCGCCGCCCGCCGTGCGTCAAGATCACAACTCGCCACCCGACACCTGTGTGACTGCTTGTCTGCTTTTCTTTCTCCTGTCTGGCGCCTGTCTGCGCGCCTGCTTTTTTGCTTGCTTGTCTGTTTGCAGGTCTTCTTGTTCTGCTCGTCTGCTCGCCTGTTGCCTGCCTGCGTGCTGTCCTGCCTGCCTGCCCCGCCTGTTTTGTTGTTCGCTCGCTTGCTTCGTGCCCGCGCGTGCTTTCTTGCTTGCGCGTCTGTCTGCCGGCCTGCATTGGGATATGACCCCTGGAGCTGCTTCAAGCGGAAACTGGCACAGCCACCGGGCAAAGCACGCGGTGGAGGAGGACGCAGAAATCGAGAGCGCGCCGTCGTACTGCAGGCGCCGTGCGAAGGGAGTGTTGTTCTGAGGTTTTGATGTGCTAGAAGAGGGGGGAACAGAAGAGACAGTTTCATGCCCTGAGCGCGCGATCCGAGGGGATTGACCCGAGGATTCACCATGGCCGGGGTTGCGCGGAGATTGATCCGCGTACGCGTGTGCAGGCCTTGAAACCGTCTCTTGTGTTCTCCTCTGTTCTGGCAGGGGGGGGGTGATGGGGGGTGATGATGATGTTGGTGCGCTGGTGATGCGTTTGGTTTTTACATAGCCCCGGGTGGCTTTAACTCCCGACCCCCCGGGGATAACCCCCGTAAAGTGAATTGCCGCAGTCATTTTTTTGAGGTTTTGTGTTTTGAGGGCTCCCAGGGATGTTTTTCTGTGTTTTTGTCCAACCCGAACGGTGCTCCCAGGTACCGCTCCGGCCTTACTTCGGGCTGTTTTCTGTTTCTGGGTTTTGCACGTTTGCGCCGGTTTGGATGATGCGGAGACGCGGGGATGAGGGATTCCTGTGTCTGTGATGCCGCTTTTTGTGGCCCGTTTTGCTGATTTTTGTCGTTGCTTCCGCACACGACCCCTCCCGCCCGGGCACGATCCCTCCCCTAATCATTTTGGGCCGTTGCCGGCTGGCCTTTTGTCTTCCTAGGTCCAAGCTGCCTGCCTGCCTGCCTGCCTGCCTGCCTGCCTGCCTGCCTGCCTGCCTGCCTGCCTGCCTGCCTGCCTGCCTGCCTGCCTGCCTGCCTGCCTGCCCGTTTGGTAGCTTGCCTTCCTGTGTGACTGCATTTTTTCTTTCTCTCCTGCCTCTTTGCCTGTCCGCGCGCCCGCTTTTTTGATCGCTTGCCTTTCTTGTGTTCCTACGTCTGTATGTGTATGCATATGTATATGTATATGTTTATGTGCATGTTTTGTGATGTTGGGTGCAACAATGCAATGTAATGAAAAAAAGCAGTGCAATGCAATGTAATGTAGTGTAGTGTAGTGTGTAGTGTAGTGTGTAGTGTAGTGTAGTGTAGTGTTTGTATGTACTGTATGTATGTATGCATGCATGTATGTATGTATGTATGTGTAGAATGTATGTATGTATGTAATGTAATGTAATGTAATGTAATGTAATGTAATGTAATGTAATGTAATGTAATGTAATGTATGTACTGTACTGTACTGTACTGTAATGTAATGTAATGTAATGTAATGTAATGTAATGTATGTACTGTACTGTACTGTACTGTACTGTACTGTACTGTACTGTACTGTACTGTACTGTACTGTAATGTAATGTAATGTAATGTATGTATGTATGTATGTATGTGTGTAATGTATGTATGTATGTATGTATGTAAGTATGTATGTAATGAAATGTAATGTAATGTAATGTAATGTAATGTAATGTAATGTAATGTAATGTAATGTGTGATGTGATGTAATGTAATGTAATGTAATGCAATGTAATGTAATGTAATGTATGTATGTATGTATGTAATGTATGTATGTATGTGATGTAATG